ACAAAGTAAAAGTAACTTGGCAAGGCAGATTTTACTTTTGCAAAAGGGTGCATTGCATAACCAATCAGATTCAGTAAGTACACAGGGCCTGAATCCTTCCTTGATGGGTTTTTATTCCTATCACAAGAGTATTGTGTCCTTTTCCCACTGGCTGGGGTCTGACCTCAAAGTCTTTCCCAACTGGCTAGTTTAAAAGAATTGTTGCAAAGGAAGAGGGAAGAGCTCCACTGCTTCAGGACATTGGGTTCAGAAATGCATCAGGGCCTTCCCTTAAACAAAAGTTTCGTAGAGTGTGGCGGAATTAAAAGATTAGAATTCCTTGTCATGAACCAAGTTTTACAAGGTTCGAAAGAAAAGACTATCGTTTACTGTTTCTTACACATTGAAACACTTCCCAAGTGATTCTAGGCTGTGTCAAATTGACAGTTAAAACTAGCTAACACATTTGGGTATCCATGAAAGGGTGGGAAGACACTGAGCACATTTGCATGGTCACTTTGACTGAGGGGAGCTATCGGCATTTAGTGAGTAGGCCAAAGAGGCAGGTGCACAGCATGGAGCTTTCCTGTGAAAGAAGTGGGTTGTGTTTTCTAAATAACAAATATTTTAAATACGCATATAAAGAAGAAATATAAATGCCCAACAAGCAATAAGAAGAGGCTTAGCACCAGTAGTCAGTAAAGAAACGCAAATCAAACCACCAATGATCTATCACTCCATATCCAGTAGGATGGATGCAAAAACAAAAATACAAAGTAACAAGTACTGGCAAGGATGTGGGGAAATTGGAGCTCTCCTCCGTGTCTGGTAGCTGTGGAAAATGGTGCCACTGCTATGGAAAACAGTTGGAAAGTTCCTCAAAAATTTAAACAGATTTACCACATGACTGAGCAGGTCTCCTAGGTATATACCTATAAGGACTGAAAATGGAGAATCAGACACAGTTGTGCTGGGCACCGTGGCACACACCTTGTAATTCCAGCCCTTGGGAGTTGCACCGTTTTTCAAATCACGGGTCACAATCCAGATGGGATCACATACTGAATGTGGGGGTTACAAAAAGTTTGGCAGTGATAAAAGGCTTCTAAATAAGCACTGAACTGACCAAAAATTAATTAAAAATCAAACATTCCATGAGTCCAAAGTGTTTCAAGCAGTGTTCACCCACGTTGCATTGCACAATGTCACTGCAGTCTTGGTTATGAACACCCATGTGGGCACCTTTACCCATGCATGCCATCATGCCACTCAACACCAACAACTTCAGCCCAGAGCACCTCAGCTCAGATTTGAGACCATTGTATGTTATGAACTGCAGTGTTTGTACATATACGAAGTTTTCTTCTCTTACAGAAACATAATGGTTTCATCATGAAAAATGACTAATATTTTCCTACCATCATTCCTCAGCATGTAAGTATCAAATTAGCATATTTTTGGACTGAATTGTGTTAGAATGCTTGGTTTTAAGAATTAATGTTTGAACCTGCTGCTAGTTAATGCATTCTAGACATGATAGGGAGGTTATACTAATGAAATTTCCACAGTATGGTAGACTAACAAGATCTGTATAACGACAAAACCAATTGACATATCAAGGTGGGTAGAGGAAATTTCCTGAGGTCCCATCTCAAGATAAAAAGCTACAGGCAATCAGTGGATGCTGAGGGAAGGGAATCTCCAGTGACTAGCTCCCTCACAGGTTATCTAATCCCAAGTGGGCAGCCCTAAACACAGGTACACATGAGCACCACTAAATGAAGTCAGTGCCATGTGTGTGTGTGTGTGTGTGTGTGTGTGTGTGTGTGTGTGTGTAAGTATATGTAATAATAATGACCAAAGAAGAAGACAAGAAATTGAGAGGGAATTGGGAGAAGTTGGGGAGACTTGGAGTGATACAAACAATGCAAAGACAATACTCATGTATGGAATTCTCAAACATAAAAAATAAATTTCTTTTTTGTTCTTTTTGAGACAGGATCTTCCCTATAGCCCCAACTGGCCTTGAACTCACATAGATCTGCCTGCCTCTGTGTCTGGAGTTCTGGGATTAAAGGCTTGAGCCACCATACCTGGTTTCTTTCTTTCTTTCTTTCTTTCTCTTTCTTATTTATTTATTTATTGTATCTTTTTTTGTTTTTTTTTTTTGAGACAGAGTCTCCCTGTAGCCCCAGCTGGCATGGAACTTGCTATATAGACTAGGTTGGCCTTGAACTCACAGAGATCTACCTGCCTCTCCCTCTGCCTCCCAAGTGCCAAGATTAAAGGTGTATGCCACCACACCTGGCTAAAATAAATTTTAAGTTATAAGAAAATTGGTGGTTGAATTGTTGACTTGGGTTTCAGTTTTTAAAAAATATCATTAAACCAGGAGTGATGATGCACACCTTTAATCCCAGCACTCAGGAGGGAGGAAGGTGGATCTCTGCGAGTTTGAGGCCAGCCTGGTCCACATAGTGAGTTCCAGGCCAGCTGGGGCTACATAGTGAGACCTTGCCTCAAAATACATACACACACACAAAAAAAAATTCATTAAATGAACTTTACCTTAAGGCCAAGTCAGCAATTTCTGAAATGATTCTAAACATACTTCTGCCATTTTGTGCTGCATATTTATTCAAAGCTGTTTTTTCTGTTTTGATAATTATAAAATCAAATGTCAATCAATTCTGATGCTCTGTGTCTTGCACAATCAAACATTCTACCGAGATTCATTTCTTTATGTAAAAATAGACAAGCATTTACTTCATTAGCATGCAAATTTTCTTTCATGTTTGACAAAAGGTAAATTTATATGTATCGCAAAGAATTACTTTAAAATAAATTTATTGGGGGCTGGAGAGGTGGCTCAGTGGTTGAGTGCTTGCTGCTTTCTAAAGGACCCAAGTTAGGCTCCTAGCACCCAAATCAGGCAGTCTTCTGTTGCTTCAGCTGTAGGGGACCCAATGCCCTCTTCTGGCCTCATCCGGCACACAATCACATAAATAAAATAAATCTTTTTTTTTAAGTTTTTTTTATTTTATGCATATGAGTGCTTTTCCTGAATATATATAAGTGCACCCGTTTTGTGCAGTGCCTATAGAGACCAGAAGAGGACATTGAATCCTCTGCAACTGGAGTTAAAGACAGTTGTTAGCCACCTTGTGGGTGCTAGGAACTGAACCCTGGTCCTCTGCAAGAGCAGTCAGTGCTCTTAACTGCTGAGCCATCTCTCCAGTCCAAAGTAAATCATTTAAAAATAGAATAAAATTAGCTTATTTATGATTTATTATCAGTAAATGGTTGATTTGTATACATGTTTATAAACCTATATATCTGGGGTCATGGGAAAATTTCTTGGGCAGAAAAGGGTCACAAGTGGAAAATGTTTACGAAGCCCTGGGGAGGTGGACGTAGGGGCATCAAGGGTTCAAGGTCATCCCTAGCCTGAACCCTGTTTCAAAAAAAACAAAGAGGCCATTTACTAAAGGCAACGTGGTTTACGATTCCATTTACAGTGGGCGAGATCAAAGAAACAAAATGAAGGTTTACAGGTTCAGGAGCAAGGGGTAATAGGATGATTGTATTATTTATTTCTTCACTGACATACTTTGAACTTTCCAACAGTTTATTTTGTGTTAAGTGGATTTTTCCTAGATTTAAAAAATACTCCTGTGTGGTTTTCTCCAGACTGTCTACCCTGTGTGTTTGCAGACCTTGGCAGCTGCTTCTGGGAACAATGGCGAGAGGACAGCTTGGAGGAGATGAGCTGGACGGTCACAGAGTGGTTCTCAGGACTTGCACTCCCTTCCTCCTCTCCAGCACCTCTGAACTCCTGGCCCAGGCTTTCCCCAGCAACAGCAGCAGTGGGTTGGAAAGAATATTGGATTTGGACACAGCCGACCCCTGGCACCTAGGCAGTTCTTGGTAACTGCTCAAGCTGCTTCCTCAGCCCCCCAGATTCCACACAACAGCCTCAAGCTCTTTCAGTCACAGCTGCACCTGACACCATGCATCCCCCGCTGTAAAGAGCTGTGGGCTCAAACCAGGAGACAAAATACACCCTTCTACCCTTTAGAAAACAAGAAGCCAAAAACTACCCACTCAAAAATGAAAGAAAGGTTTTATGCTTCCTCCTCAAATATAACTCGTTTTTTTAATTTGTTGATTTTTGTGTATGTATATCACACAGAACATCCCAATCTTATGCATCTATATACCCACTTCCCAGATGGCACCTCCCATACCTCCCCCCACCAGAGCCCTTTTACTCTGTCTTCCCTGCTGCTGTCTGCAGTGTGGTCGGCACCCCCGGCCATTCCCCACTACTTGTCCATCTGATAAATCTAGTCAGCCTATCTAGATGTTTTTGTTTTAGGAAGGTCAGCTGTTCCTCATCTAGCAGTAATCAGTTGTCAATATTCCTTCAATTTTATGTCTTACAGGGTTTATACTGAGTTCAACATTGTATAATTATAGTAATTCAACTATGAACCTAAAAATTTTATAGCCACTTTTGAAAGAGATCTATCTTTGCTCTGGAAATTGTTATCGAGTATGTTAAAGCTGTAATGAAATGCTTCTAAAACATAAAAAAATTTAAAAAAGGAAAAAAGTGGACATGCTCTGAATTAGGGTCTATCCTCACAGAGCTGGAGGACCTTGAGCACGAGGATCTCTGTCACTCCCTTACCCCAACTGTCACAGTGGATCAGGATTCTGTCCTGAGCACCTCCCAGGGGCAAGAGGCACTGCACAGGTGCACCTGCTTGGCACAAGTCAGAGCTATCACTTCCTTGCCAGAAAGCAGAGGGTCCTGGTGGGCTCTTTGAAAATGCAATCCAACACTTTGATACTTTAGAGGATGAAGCCCTTGCTATAGCCACCCAATGACTTCTGCCCCTGCCCTGTGGCCACGCCTTCTTACTCCATCAGCACCCCACATCCCCTACACTGGGGCACCCCGCCCAGCCAGTTCCCTACCCACCTCCTGCCTGGTAGGTGTCTGTGAAGCCCTGAGAGGAACAGGTGTCCTGGGCACGTCAAGATGCAGCCAGGCCTCTGGCTGGTCCTCGCCTGGCAGGTTGCAGGTAAGGTAGGGCAGGCTGGGGATCTTAGAAATGTACCTCAGCAGGTAGGACGGGCAAGCCCGGGCTGTGGGGATGCAGGGGGAGGCTGGAGGCACAGTCCCTGAGTGGAAAGGAGAATACTCCTAGGTGCGCATTACCCAGTCTGAGAGCTCCAGGCCCCAAGCCACTTCCTCCCTTCTGCCTGGACTAGAAGGGAGGGTTGGAAAGGTGGAGAGCAGAAAGGAGGGGAGGACGAAGAAAGGGAAGTGTGGAGAGATCAAGGGGAAGGAGAAAGGGGAAATGACCTTTTCTGAGAGCCTCATGGGGTGTTCCCTGCCACCGTGTTCCTAGAAGCCCCAGTCTGGCCTTCTTGACCTAAATTTGGCCCAGGCTAGGATCCTATAGACATTCTTTAATCACTTCCGGGAAAATGCTTCTAGTACAAACTGGACAAATGCTTCTGTTGCCAGCTCAGAAACAACTATAATAGGGTACTCCCTGTGACCTTTCTGCTCCCCAGTACCTTCTGGAGTTGAGGTCCTGTGTGGTGTTGCTCCCCTAAGAAGCTGGGCTGCATTTGGAATATTGGAGCGGGCATGGAGGTGTGAGCTAAGACTGTCCCTCTGACCAAACCCAGGTAGTCTGCTTTTTAGAGGAAAACCCCCAAATGCCCACTGACCTGTGGTTTCACCCAAAGTCCAAAACTGGTTATGCTGCTGAGGGAGACAGGGCCCGCCGGCCCCCAGCTCTGACAAGGCTACCTCAATTACATCATAAGTGGAAACAAGGCCAGGTCACTGAAACCTGATAAGGCTACTGCTGATCATTCTAGAAATACCAGGTGCCCTGAAAATTGAGTCGCTGGGGTATACAGAAGATCAAATTAAATTACATATGTCTTGAGGCCTAGCTGTGTGGCTCTGGTCCCTGAGTTCAGCCCAGAGGCCGAAAAAGCAAATGGGTCTAGAGTGAAAAAAGAGAAACCAGCCAGGCATGGGAAATGGACCTTTATCACACAGGCCATACCCTTGTTTAGAGAGTCATTTCTGGGCTTCAAAAGGGCTTCTGCCATCTGTGAATTCTTGACCCCACTGTGAGTTCAGGAGTGCGCCCAGAAAAGGATCACAAGTTTCTTGTAGCTCCAAGCTCATGTACAGGGGTCTGCAACCTAGGCTTGAGATCCACTTCATACAGGCTATGTGACCTTGGGTACAACCTTTCCCTCACTAGCCTCCTTTTGCTCCTGTGTAAAATGGATATAAAATTCTTTTCCCCATAGCATTTGGTGAGGATTAAATGAGACAGCACACACACCATGCCCAACACAGCTCAATAAATACTGGCATCATCAATTCTTATTAACTTCCCAAGAGAAGGCAACAACCCAAAACAATGGAAACTGCTGTCCTACAGCAAAAAGGGGATTCTGATAGCCAGGGGAAAAGATTTGGCAGCACTTGGGCCACAGGTGCAAATTCATTCTTTCTCCATGCAATGGAAGGTCAGAGTAGTCTGAGAGTGGAGCCTGTGGTTTAAGTTCTTCCCATCAGTCCTAGGGAAGGCCATGAAGGGGCAATAAAGCTTGGGCTGTAATTACAAGCAGAAGCCCTGGCCGCTCACTTAGGCAGCCAGCTCATGGGCAGTATTTACCTGTGTGAGTGCTTTATAGTTTGTAATGTGATTTGGGGGCATCCTTTCACTTCTTTTCTTTCCTTCTTTTGAGGTCCCACAGCTGGTACAGGGCTCTGTGCATGGCCAAGTCTGTGACTGCTTCTGTCTACCCAGTCTTCCCATCTAAGGAAAAAAAAACGAACTCCCAGCTCTGCTTCCAGGGTATTGGGAATCCAGAGCTGGGCTGCTGTTGTGTCCACCAGGGACAGCGAGCAACTTTTGCTCTTTGTCCACAAACAACAGTCAGTCCTCTTTCAGATTGCCTGGACCAGCCATGTGCTGTGCCTGTGACTCCGAGTTCCTCTCCCAGTTTGCCCCGGGTCTCTTTCAGCTGCTTAGATCTCCTGAGGGCTGATACAGAGTCACAGCAGATGAAGTAGATAAGCAATTTGGCTTCCAAATGGCTTTTGAGGTTTAATCCCCATGGGACTCTGAACAAGTAACTTCATGCATCTTCTCATTTGGGTAATGGGGATAAAAATCCTAAAGCCAGTTTGAGACTTGGTTGAGATAATTCATGTCAAGGACCAGACATACAAGTTGCTATCAACCAATGGCCATGGCACCTCCTGTGCCCATGGTAAACCTAGGCACAGAGAAAGCCCACCTTGCAGCTGAAGCTTGTGAATACAGAGTCCAAGAGGCTCCTGCTGTTAACACCCTGGGCTCTATTATCAGACAGTCTTCCATAGGTTTTCCTGTAACACACACTTGGTGTGATTCTGAGGCCCCACAACTGTGGCCAGGAAAGCATGCTAATGATCTCTGCTCCTTCTTGGTTCTTTATTTCTTTTTAAAAATATAATATCTCTCTCTCTCTCATTCTCTCTCTCTCTCTCTCTCTCTCTCTCTCTCTTGTGTGTGTGTGTGTGTGTGTGTGTGTGTATTTTTTTCTATATATATAATATCTCTCTCTCTCTCTCTCTCTCTCTCTCTCTCTCTCTCTCTCTCTCTCTCTCTCTCTGTGTGTGTGTGTGTGTGTGTGTGTGTGTGTGTACACAGACATGTATGTGTGCCTGCCTGGAGGTCAGAGGACCACTTGTGGGAGCCAGTTCTCTTCTACCATGTATGTCCCAGAGATTGAACCCAGGTGGTTAGGTTTGTCAGTGCCTTTACCTGCTGAGCCATCTCACCAGCTTTCCCATCCACAAACATCCTTTTTTTGAGACAAGGCCTTACATAGCCCAGGCTGGCCTCAAACTCACTATGTAGCTGAACTTGAACTTCTGATCCTCCTGCTTCCATCTCCAGAGTTCTGAGATTACAGGCATACACACCTGCTTCATTCCTTCTGGTTTCTTGTAGCTCTCTCTGCCCTCCATCAACCCCCTAAGTCCATGATGGTCCTGACCAACCAAATGGTGAAACTGTCCTGTGAGATGAAAATCTACACCAAGAGTACGCCCATCTACTGGCTAAGGCAGCTCCAGGGCCCCACCAAGGACAGCCACTTCGAGTTCCTGGTCTCCTGGAATCCCACGAAAGGGATTGTGTATGGTGAAGGGATGACAGCAGAAAAGCTAACTGTGTCTTCGGATACAGCCCAACCCATTCTCAATCTGACGAGTGTGAAGCCTGAGGACAGTGGCATCTACTTCTGCATGATAGTTGGGAGTCCTGAGCTTATCTTCGGGAAGGGGATCAAGCTGATCGTGGGTAAGAATGGGCTCAAGACTATGAAATAGCATTGCGCACATGCCAAGCGCTGGGGCCATCGCTTTTGGTGAGCTCCACTCTGCAGCCATGACTAATAGCTGCACCACTAAGACTAGAGGAAAATACATGTTGAGAATCACCAGGCTGAGCACCTGCAAGTGTTGCATATAGTCGTGTCCCTAACAGTGCCTAATACTACCACCCACTCAGCAGATGGTATATTATGACTTCCATTTTGGATGGGGATCGTATGGAGAGATGAGTCAATCAGAGACAAGCTCTGTCCGATGGACACAGGGTGATGTTGCCCTTCAGGCCATGCCAAGATGCGTGAGGTCTTAGAAATCCTGAGTGTACACTGCCTGGATGTACCCAGGGAGGGCATTTCTGGGGTTACAGAGAGGCGGTTGTCCTCAGCAGTCTTTGTGGGGTTGTATGGGTCACAGCCACACTCGGCTTCAGGGAGTAAGGGAAATGAGCCCTAGGCCTGGCTGTGCTATAAGTTTGCCACAAGCCCTGGGGCAGGTTGTTCCCCTCCTTCAACTTCCATTTCCACATCTGTGGGAGGGTGCTGTTGTCCCACCTCTAATTCTGGGAAGCTGCAGCTCCATGAATTAAGAGAGTATAATATAGTAAAAATACATTGCAAACTGTAGATATGTTTTTAAATTTTTTATTACATTCTATTTATTGACTTGTATGTATGGGTCGGGGGTACGTGCCACACATGCCTGTAGAGGTCAGAGGACAACATGCAGGAGTCATTTCTCTCCTTTCATCATGTGAGTCCTGGGGATTGGCGATGCAGTAAGTGCCTTTACTCACTAAGCCATCTTGCTAGCCCCTAAGAAAATCAAAAAGAAATAAGTGAAATGAATTTACACATTTTGTTGAATCCACTTTATCAACAGTATTATCATTTCAACAGATAGCCAGTATGAAAATTGCTGTGCTATTTTTTGTTCCTTTTTCAAACATGGTGCTAGTCATATTGTAAGTGGACAGCACATCTCTGTTGAGACTCAACAGAACACGTGGCCAGGGGCTGCCATGTTGGACAGAGAGGATTCGGCTCTCAAGAGTGGGAAAGGATCATGGCAGATTTTCTCAGGCCAGTAGTTGGCAGTAGTCCTTTCCCTAGCTCAGCCCGTGGCTGGGTCTCTCACTGTCCTGCTTCCCACTTACCTGGGGGCTGAGAGGGATGAGGGCACTCCAGAAGTTGGACCACTCAGCCTGAAGAGATGCAGGGACAGCTGGGGACAGCAGTATAGTTAGGGAGACAAAAATTAGAGTGAGGTCCTATGGCCTCCCCAGCCCGAGTTCTTAGCATCATGGGGTAGGGGTGAGGGTAGATAGGAGTTCACTGATCCGTGTTTTGAAATATGGGCTTCTGCAGGGCTTGGGAGTCATTTAGCTTGTAACTTTTTTGCCTATGAGCACTGTGTCTTCCCGGTGTTCCAGGATCTGAGAAATAAGCATAGGCATTCCCAGAAACTTCCCATCATCTCTGCCTCCATCTCCATTCACTGGCTCCTGGATTCCATGTTTCCAAACCCCACACACTGTTCACACCTCAAAAACAGCGTCTTCCCAAAGCTCGTTCTTGCAACCACTGTCCTTGCAGGGGCAGGATGCTCAGAGCCAGAGCCTAACTGTCTGGCTGAAAGGTGCTTTTTAAATTTTTTATTTTATTTTATTTTATTTTATTTTACTTTACATTTTATTTTATTTTATATTATATTTTATTTTATTTTATTTATTTAGAGACAGGTCTTGCTGTAGCCTCTGCTGGCCTGGAACTTGCTATGTAGCCCAGGTTGGCCTCGAACTCACAGAAATCCGCCTGCCTCTGCCTCCCCAGTGCCAGGATTAAAGGTGTGCATCACCATGCCTGGCCTTCTCTGTGCTTTAGAGGAGAAGCCCGGGTAGTAAAGAAAGTGTCAGGAAAAATATGTCTCATTCAGGTCCTACAAGCACCCTATGGGCCTGCCCCTTTCATAGGCAACAGAGTAGGAAAGGTTGAACTTGGGGATCAAGAGGCATCAAGAGGGACCTGGCTTTGAGCAAGGTGAAATTGAAGCAGAACAACTTTCTCTTGCCCTCAGCCCTCCATCAGAGCCAGGCCATTGTGTCCAGCTAAGGCACTGAAGGCTGTAGAGCTGGCTCCCTCCCAGGCTGGCCACTGACCGGATGAGGGGCCCCTGCTTCCTTGAGTGTAAGATAGGACAAATGGAGTTCGTTCTGGGACCACGTGCATTAAAGGACTTACAGCCCCAACACAGGCCAGGCTCTCAGACCTTGCAGCTGCTGTTGGTCGTCACTTTATAACAGCTCCACACACCCATGGCCAAAAGACTTGGAGCTGACCTAATGTGTCAGAAAGCACCTGCCTCTGAGGCCATGTAGGAAACAGGTCTTTTGGCTCAGATCCTGGCTGTAGTTTAACGACTACCTACTTCGGGCAAGTTAGCTCAGCTTTCTGATCTTAGGCTTTCTCCCAGGTAATATGGAGATCATGGTGTGTACACCGAAAGCTGCCAGGGTCAGTGGGCTTAGCTGCTTAAGTGCTTAGCTCGGCTGCCTCCACACCAGGAGCTCCTTCTAGTTCGTTGGCTTTTCCAAGAAACAGCAAAAAAAGCCAGCAGAGCCCACCATGACTGTGTTCTCCCCGCCCTCCAGAGGGTGCTTGGGAGGAGAGAACCCGGTGTCCTCTTTATAATGACCTATTTGCTGGCTGCCCCTCCTTGGTCCCTCAGCTTGAAAGTTTAAGTTCAAGTTCATGGTGTTTTCCTAGTCCATTCCCAGTGTTGTATATTTTCAGTCTTTTCCCTTAGGCAACAGAGGCAAAGGGCAGATGGTACGGTACCGGGTAGCCCCATATCACACTCCACACTACAAAACTACAGGGTCTCCCTGGCTCAGAGTGCCAATCCCACCATCTTCTCCCACTCCTCTCCCAACCCTTCAGTATGGGACACTTGGTCATAATGGAGGAGAAGAGAAGAAGGGTCTGGGGTCCCAGCACTCACCCGCCCCTCTCAACTGGGACTGTCCACGTGGGAAAGGACACGCATCTCCTTTCCATGGGCTTTGTTCCACTGGTTTGGGAACTGGCAAGGAGGGTTGAAAGGACTCATGCCAAGGTACTGAGGGGTCTCAACCTCAGCCCAAAGTCTTCTAGCAAATAGAGTCATGTCTATTGCATACGTTGCTAGACACATTGTCTCTTTTAATTCCCACAAACAACAAAATATGGGCCATCTTCATTACAGCAGATAAGCATACAGGGGACAACCCAGGTTGCACAGTGGTTAATCATGAGCGTGAAGCACTGCTCAGATCTGGTTGCTCCAGAAAATATCTCTCTGAGACACCAGGGTGACCCCCACCTGGAGTCCTGGAGTAGCCTAGGGAATGATTATGGGGTAGCCTAGGGAACATCATGAGGACTTCAGTGCTGGATGCAGCGCAGCACACATCTGCCTGTCTGTCTGCTGATTATGGCCTGAAATATGGGTCTTGTTTCTTTCTGCAGCTGATGTCCTTCCCACCACTGCCCAACCCACCAAGAAGACCATCCTCAAGAAGAAACCATGTCGGGTCTCCAACCCAATGGCCCAGAAAAGTGAGTTTGCCATCACTGCATCACAGAAAAAAAAAAAGGCAGCTGTCTGCTCTTCCTCCTCCCTCTCTTTCCCTCTCTTTTTCCTTCCTTTCTTACTTTCTCTGTGCCACAGTGCTCACCAAGTATTGGCTCTGTAGCCTATTTCTCCAGCTCCAACCTTGTGTCAGAAGGAACACTGAGTTTGACAGCCACTCACAGACTAGTAAAGCCATACTATAAATCATCACAGAACAAGACAGAAAGGAAAAGACATCCACCCAAACACCTGCACATGTTTCACAGAAACATGATTCATAGTAGCCAGGAAAGCTGTCACCAATAGTGTACGGGCTAACAAACTGTAATATAGCTACACAAAAGAATGGAAGGAATGAAGTTCTACACCGAAAAGATGTCTCAGTGCTTGCTGCCAAGCCTCACGACCTGAGTTTGATCCCCAAGACCCACATGGCGAAAGGAGAGAACCAACTCCTGCAAATTGTCCTCTGACCTTCACGTGTGCACCATATAACAATCAATCAATCAATAAATGTAATAAAATTTAAACCAATAATTAAGCACTGGCTGGGCATTGTGGCACATGCCTATAGTCCCAGCACTTGGTTAGCTGAGGCAAGAGGATCACAAGCTGAAGACCAGCCTGAAATACATAGAGAACCTTGATTTCAAAAAGAGTAAGAACAGGCCAGGTGAGCAGGAGTGGGGATGATGGTGCACGCCTCTACTTATGGAAGGCAGAGGCAGGAGGGTATCTGTGCGATTGTGGTCAGTTTAGTCAAGGTCCAGGCCAGCTGGAGCTACAAGGAGACCCTGTCTCAAAAAAAAGAAAAGAAAAGAAAAAAAAGGTCAGGCATAGTGGCACATGTCTATAATTCCAAGTGGAAGCAGGAGGCTCAGGAGTTCAAAGTCATCCCCAGCTATACATAAAGTTTGTGCCTGGGCTGAGACCTTGTGTCACCACCCGCCCCAAAGGAATACAATACTTATATATGCTTAAGTATAGATGAATCTTGAAAATATGCAGTGAAATGCCAGTCACAAAAGACCACGTATTGTGCAACTTCATTGATATGAAATGTCCACATTAAGATACCTCAGAGAAGCCAGGCGTGGTGGCACATGGCACATGCCTTTAATCCTAACACTGGGGAGGCAGAGGCAGGCAGATCTCTGTGAGTTCACGGCCAGCCTGGTCTACATGGTGAGTTCCAGGCCAGCTGTGGCTATAGGGAGAACATGTCTCAAAAAAAAAAAAAAAAAAAAAAGGGTACCTCAGAGAGACTGGATGAATGACTGCCTGAAGCTGGGGGTGGGGGGCGATGAAGATGACTACTAATAGGTACAGGGTTTTGTTCTGGGAGGAAGAAAATGCCCCAAAGGTAGCTTGTGGTGATGGCTCTACAGCACCAGGAAGATTTTTAAAAACTATTCAATTGTAGACTTTACTTTTTCTGTTGAGACATGGTTTTTACGTGTAGGCTAGCCTGGAATTTGTTGTGTAACCCAGGTTGACCTCAAACTAACAATTCCCCTGTCTTAGCCTCCCAAATTCTGGGATTATAGCATGTATTACCACACCAGCTAAAAAATTCTACACTTTAAACAGTTGGACTTTATGATTTGTAAATTATGTCACAAACTGTTGATGAATGCTCCCGCACTTCACATTTTTCCAGTTTTGATGCCCAACAAAGGAGCTAACACAAAGGATGAGCTTAAGTTATGTTAATGAATGAAAAAATTTGCCTCTCTGAATAGTGAACGCCAGGCATCTTAACTGGAGTAAGCACATGTGTACACACACACATGCACACACATACACACACACACACGCACACGCACACACACACATGCACACACACACACTTTTTCAAACCCCAAATAAGCCCAAATAAATAAACCCAAATGTGTTTCTGGAAAAATACTGAGTTCTACCCCCAAAAGTTGCTGGTGGCAAACAGAAAGCACCACCTGCCACTACCCAAAGAAAAAACCACAACAGCAGCCCAAGGCTGCTGTGTGCAGCTTAGGTTGCTTTGTTTATATGTACCAAGCACCTGAGGAGGGGTTCCTTATAGGATCTAGGAGAACGGGGTGCGAAGCTGCCTCGTGAGGTTACAGCAGAAAGACAGTCGGAACCTAGCCAGATTCAGTGGCACATGCCTATAATGCCCGCGCCTGGGAGGCTGAGGCAGGAGGATCAGGAGTTCAATGTCACCCTCAGCTACAAGGCAAGTGTGAGGCCAGCCAGAGCTACATGAGATCCTGTCTCAAATAAAACAAAAACAAGAACAGAAAAAAGAAAATCAGAGCCAGATGTGGTGGTGCACGCCTTTGATCCCAGCCCTCTGGAGGCAGAGGCAAGTGGATCTCTGTGAGATCAAGGCCAGCAACTTCCTGGCCAGCTGGGGCTACAGGGAGACCCAGAGAGAGAGAGAGAGAGAGAGAGAGACAGAGAGAGAGAGACAGAGAGAGACAGAGAGAGAGAGACAGAGAGACGGAGACAGACAGAGACAGACAGAGACAGACAGAGAGAGACAGAGAGAGAGAGACAGAGAGACGGAGACAGACAGAGACAGACAGAGACAGACAGAGAGAGACAGAGAGAGAAGAGGAGGGGACAGGAGGGGAGGGAGGGGAGGGGAGGGAAGAAGAGAGAAAGAAAATCAGTACCCATGAATAGAAAGGCAGCCTTACAGAATATGAAGGTGAGGACAGAATGACCTCATTTTATAACATACCTTGATAACTTCATCTAAAGGACATGTAGTCAGGCTACAAAAAGAAGAGTTCCAAACACAGTTCCTGTAGTCCCAGCTACTCTGCAGGCTGAGGCAAGAGCATCACTTGAGCTCACAAGTTTGAGAGCAGCCTGGGCAACATAGTGAAATTCTGTCTCAAAAATCAATAAGCCTCAAACTCACAGACATCCACCTGCCTCTGCCTCCTCTGCTAGAATTAAAGACGTGTGCCACCACACCCAGCACATCTCCATTACCCAGCACATCTTTTTAAAACTTTATGGAGGCATGATTTGCTCATCATCAAGTTCACCCACTTGAAGCATACAAATTTAATGAATTGTAGGAAATTTGTCATGTTATGCAAGCATCTCCAAAGTCTAGTTTTAGAATATCTCCATTACCCAAGTCATATGACATCCCCATTCCCAGCCCTGGCAACCGTGTATCTACTGTCTCTCCCTGAGCTTTGATGTCTGGCTTCTTTGACTTAGCACCATGTTTTTAAAGTTTATCTAAGGCAGAGCTTGGTGGTGAGAGCATCTCGGGTGGGCCTCCCACCTGTGCAGGAGTCTCCTCTGCTCGTAGTAACTATCCAGACATGGCTTCTTCCCCTTCTGCGCCCTCTTTTGCCTCAAGCTGCCCAGGTGGAACCTGTAGGGTCTTTTAGGCCTTGAAGACCTTATACATACTCTGGTCATGCCTTTGGAAGCTGAGTGCTCTTGGGTCTGTAGAGTGAACTTGGGTCTTTTGAGCCTTGGGGTCTTGTTTTAGTTTTGTTTTTGAGACAAGGTCTCATGTAGCCCAGGCTGTCCTTTAACTTGCTATGTAGTAGACGATGGCTTTGAGCTGCTTCTGATCCTTCTGTCTCAACATCCTAAGTTCTGAGGTTACCGGCATGCCCGGTCTCTGTGGTGCTCAGGATGAAGCAACCGCACAAGCACTCTGCCAGCCCCGCTGCATTCCCAGCCCAAGTCTTAATTGCTTTAAAGTACAAAATGACAGAGAAAAATCCTGGCAATGCCTTTCTTCCTCACAAGGTGAAAGCTGGAAGTTAACACTATCCTTGGCACGTCAGAAGTACTCTGTCAAAATTCCCTTCCTCCCTGACTTCCAAAGGGCTTTCTAGTTTTGCTAACCTGGAGTCCTCTGTGGTTTTGTCCTTTCATCCATGGGCCTTGGTTCTGTGCCTCAGCCCCTTGGAGGGATCAGCTACAGGACCGTGAAGGGTACTGCAGAAGAATCCAGAACACTAAGATCACAACCTCTGCTACTTACATGACACGCAAAAACCAGGCAACTGAGCAGAGAGCCGAATCATAGAGCAATCTTACAGGTGATTGACATGCAAATGGGCTGAAGCCTACACGGAATCAGGGAACTGAAGTGAAATATCCCACACGCATACACAAACACACATAGACTTGCTCTGTCAGCACACACAGGACTGACAAGAGCTAAAACACTGATAACAAGGGCCAAGCGAGGTGCACCATGGCGGATCAGAGCAGAAGGGAAGGCATTTGGCAGCGTCTACTACAGTAAAAACAGACCACATCTGTGGTTTAGTAGTTCCCACTTTCAGCATCTACCTCAGGAAGGCACCTGCATTACATAAATGCACCAGAATGTTCTCTCCAGAGCTGTTTGTAAAAGTAAAGCAACCAAGATGCCTACTGATGGCTAATAACCCATGTCGTATCCATAGGGCCATCTGTTATTCTGCTGAGGAAACCGATATGCTGGTGTGATTAAAGAAAGTGGGAAATGCAGTTACAGGGAAAAAATGAATTCAGTATAATCTACTATATTTAAAAACTAAGGGACTGGGGATGTAGTTCAGTTGGTAGAGTGCTTGCCTAGCAGGCACAAAGCCCTGAATTCAATCTCCCACACTGCATAAACGGGTCATGTTGGCACACAAGTGTAATCCCAGCACTTGGGAGGCAGAGACAAGAGGATCAGAAGTTCAACATCATCCTTGGCTACATAGCAAGTTGAAAACCAGCCCTGCCTCAAGAAACAACAAACAAACCAACCAAACAAACAGAGATAACTCATCGGGTAAGAGCACTTGCTGTATAAACATGAGGACCTGAGTTCAAATTGCCAGCACCCATATAAAAAAACCAGACATGGCAATGCACGTACCTGTAACCCCAGCATTATAGGATGACAGAGACAGGACAATAACTGTGGCTTACTGGCCACCGTTCTGACTCCAGGTTGAGTGAGAGACCCTGTCTCAAAGGAATAAGGTGAAGTAATAGAGCAAGACACCTGAGGGCCTCCTCAGCTGTCACAGGTTCACAGGTACACATAAACACACACACACACACACACACACACACGCACACGCACACGCACACGCACACACACACATACATAAACAATGAAAGAACTGGAATATATCTATGAAAACTGTACATGTTTAAATGCAAAGGGGAAGATTACCAAGTTATCAATGTTGGTTCTTCTGAAAAGGAACAAGGATGTCTATGGGCTTTCTAACCACATATTTAAATTACAATGAAAATGTATCCATCTATTTTTTTGTGTGAAATTCAAATAAAGGGATTTTTTTAAAGGTAGTAAAAGCTTATTACCAGGCATAAGAGGTGTCTACCTCCTGAGTTTAATTAACTTTTTAAAAATTTTGGATGTGAGCCGTGACATTTTCTTTATATAATGACTTCAGTGGTATTTAAAGTGCATTTGGAAAAAGGGCTAAACAGAAGTATGATGCAACTGCAACTGGTGGAGTTCCCTGGCAAGTCGACTCCCAGGGAGTTTCTCCTCCGAGTGTGTGAATCAGTGTTGAATACACATCATATGTGTCTTTTCTAGGCCCAGCCTGTGGCCTTGTTACCCTCAGCCTACTGGTGGCTGGCATCCTGGTTCTGCTGGTGTCTCTGAGTGTGACCATCCACCTGCACTGTGAGTTGACACGTCCAGGACATCATGGGGCCCCCATTTTGCTATCCTAGGGTCCCTGGGCATACTTTCTTCTCTAGGAAAGCAGAATTGATGGAAAATTTGTCCCAGAGAGCCTAGTGGGTCTCCAAATGGGTCTTTCTGATTTGAGGGGTTCCTGGGGCATACAGAGATTGAACCCGGGACATCTTGCATGCACTTTACTACTGAGACACACTTCCCCCAGATCCAGGGGCCAAAATGAGATGCCATTTGTCTATGCAGTCAGACAAACCTAGGTTTGAGTCCACTGCTGTAGCGCCTTCCTCCACTGACTTTGATCTTGGGTCTCAGCGGTCTCACTCTGTGCTTTATGTAGATAGAGCCTGTGGCCTCTTCATGCCATCCAGAGCAAATCACTTTTCTTCTATGAACATCTATAAAATGAAGTGGGGAACAGCAGGGAGTCAACCAGATCAGTGGCTCTTAACCTTTAGAGCTCACCGATTCCTTTAACCTTTGTGAATTGTGGTCCCTTTCCCCCAAAGAAATGTACCCATGTGCCTGCATACTTTGGCGTGAGGTTGTCCTCACACACGAGTTTGTGCACCCCATTCTAAGAATCCCAGTAGTCTGGCTGGGCCTGGTGGCACATGCCTGTAATCCCAGTACTTGGGAAGTAGAGGCAGGAGGATCAGGAGCTCAAAGCCAGCCTCAGCTGCATAAAGAATTTGAGGTTTGGGCCACATGAAACCCTGTCTTAAATACAAACAAACAACATTCAGCAGAAGTAGACCCTTGTTTCCGCCCTACCTCCCAGAAGGGGTACATGTGCTCTGGTTTGAGATGAAGCTGTAGATGTTGGCTAACCCTGCCCTCCTCCTTGGTCTCTGGGGCTTGGCACCAGTCATCAGCCGACCAGCACTGACTCTTGCCTTTGCTCTGCTCTTCCAGGCCTTCAGAGGAAAGCCCGAATTCGCTTCATGAAACAGTAAGTGCTGCTCTGCTCGTGGTTCTGGGGTTCTTTAGCCCCCTGCTGCTATCTGCAGCCTATGGCTGCATCAAAAAGTCAAAATCAGATGTCACCTTCAAAACCATCATAAACAGGGGCCTGGGGGTATGGCTCGGTTGGTAGAGTGCTTGCCTAGCATGCACAAAGCCCTGGGTTGGTCCCCAGAGCAGCACTAACAGTGTAATGGCTCACACATGTAATCCCAGCACTCGGGAAACAGAGGCAGGAAGATCAGATGTTCAAGATCATTTGACTGCATAGAGACTTTGAAGCCAGCCCAGGATACACGAGACTCTGTGTCAAAATTAAGTTAATTTAATTTAATAAACTGAAGGCATAATAGAGATCGATAGAGATCAGGAACAGAGTTGAGCTAAATGAACACAAGTACTAAGTAATCACTTAAATGTATTCCATACAAAGTAGGATTAACTCTTCACTCTACTGACAGCAGTCACCAGTGCCACATGAGACCATGAGATGGAAAGGTCATTACTCCCGTCTTACAGATCAGTGGAGAGAAAAGTCAGAAGGTCAGGCTCCTCCATCAGAAGTTCTTTTCCCAGGCAATGCCCTACACAGTGAGCTCCAGGCCAGCCTCGGCTACGTAGTAAGACCCTCTCTCAAAAAGACAAAAACAAAAGCTGGGCTGATGGCTCATGCTTGTAATTCCCCCATTTGGGAAGCTGAGGCGGGAGGATTGCTGCAAATCCCAGGCCAGCCTGGCTTTATAGTGAGTTCCAGGTCAGCTTTGGCTACAGAATGAAACCTTGTCTCAAAAATTAAATTAATAGCACTGGGGAGGCGGATCAGTGGGAGGATCAATAATTCAAGGTCATTCTTAGCTACATAGTAAGTTCAAGACAGCCTGGGTTACATGAGACTGGGTCTCAAAATAAACCAACTAACTAACCACATAAGCCTTCAGTTTGCTGCATCTGGCAACCCATAGCAGGAGCCAGAGGCTTGCACAAATCCGAGGCTACCAGGACTCCCCAACCCTTAGTTTAGGATCCCATGCTCAGCCTCAGGCAATGTTCTCGGATTTGATTTTGTTTTAGGACAGGGTCTCACATATTCCAAGCTGACATCAAACTCCCTATTTGCCAAGGATGACCTTGAACTCCTAATCCTCCTCCCTCTACCTCTTCAATGCTGGGATTACAGGCAGGTGCCACCACCCCAATTTATGTGTACTGGAGAGTGAATTCAGAACTTCTTGCACACTCAGAAAGCACTCTGCCAACTGACCCCACATCCCCAGTCTTTGGGTTTGATTTTTCTTCCTCAATATAGAGGCTGTTTCGCATCTATCTGCCTCACATATTCATTTGATCCTCAGGACACGCCCCCTACAGAGAGAGAGAGAGAGAGAGAGAGAGAGAGAGAGAGAAGGAGAGAGAGAGAGGGGGAGAGAGAGAAAGAGAGAGAGAGAGATGTGTTTTGAGGAAAGAAAAGGCCATGCCTCCAAATGAAAAAGGGCAATAGGGTCTTATACTCAAGGACTCCTGTCTATCACTCATCAACCCTGTAACTCTAGGCAAGTCTCTTCACCTCTCAAAACCTCTAGTTTCCTGTCTGTAAAATGGAAAGACACAGCTTTGTGAGGATTACTCAGAGAATGCCCATAAGGCTTGACTCCTAAGTTACATTTAAGTTCAGTTCTGGGAGTCCAAATACCAAGAAACAAAACACACTTTAAGTACTCTAAAAGTATGATGATCATGTTAACTCTCATTATTATATGACCTATATACTATATACAAGAACTAGTTAAACATGCCCACTGTACTTTCTTATTTCTTTTGTTTTTTTGCCTGCTGCATTTTAAGAGTAACTTACAATGACAGTTTGGGCAAGAACAATTCTGCTTTGGGGGCTGGATTTAGAAACTACACTCAAATAAGAGATGAGAATTTGAGTACATCTGAGACTAGATCTCTAGAAAGTTCTGTGTAAAATCTTTGCTGTGGTAACTTTTCGTGGAGAGTCGGGCACTGCCTGTGGTTGTCCAACATGCCCTTTGATTTTCACCTCTACCCAGTAATCTGACACCAGTTAGGGAGAGACTGGAAGCAGGACCTCCAGGTTTGACAAACCTTAGGCATCCCGAGGCTCAGTGAGACAGGGGAAGGGCTTAGGGTGGTCACTGGGGGTCCCGAGCCTCCTCTGCACTCTGTTCTGTTCTCAGCCCTTGTCTATTTTTACATTTACTCAAGTCATTTGTTACTTGGTGTGGTAGCAAACATCTGTCATCCCAAAGCTGCAAAGGTGAAGACGGAAGGATTAGAAGTTCAAGGTCACTGCCAGTTTGAGACCCATATCAAAAAAAAATGTAATTTAAACAAAAACATTTGTGTGTTTAGGTGTGTGTGTGTGTGTGTGTGTGTGTGTGTGTGTGTATGAGACAGGATCGCATATCCCAGGCTTGCCTCAAACTCATTATTTGCCAAAGATGACCCTGAATTTATGATTTTCTGGCCTCCAACCTCCTAAATGCTGGGATTACAGGCATATATAACAGTGCCAGACTGGTTTATGACTTTGAAAAGCTTAAAAACTCTTTCTGGTTTTGCTGTCATGATCCAGGGCCTCAGCAGCCCCTGGGTCTCACTGATCAGTTGTTTTGTAGTTGAAGCAGATGTTCCCATCCTCTCACTCTGAACAGAGAATCATCCCTCAGCAGACAATCCCCTCGGGCCCACAGTGAGCTCTGTGAGCAGCTGCCTAGAAAGTGCTTCAGGACACAACATTATTCAGTGCTAAAGTATTTTTTATTTGTTTGTTTTTGTTTTTTATTTGCGACAATGTCCTATGGTCCCAGATGACCTGGAACTTGCTATGTAGACCAGGCTGACCTGGATCTCATAGAGATTCACCTGTCTCTGCCTCCCAAGTGCTGGATTAAAGGCATACACTACTACACCCAACTGAGCAAAAGGCTTTTTAAAAGAAATTTTTGCATTTATTTATTGTGTGTGTACCGTGGCATTCATGTGGAGGTCAGAGAAAAATTTTCAGGAGTGGGCTCTCTTCTTCCAACATGTAGGTTCTGGGGATCGAACTCAGATCATCAAGCTTGGGGGCAAGCATCTTTTCTTTACCTGCTGAACCATCTTGCTGGCCCCAAAGCTAGAGCTTTTTTTTTTAAGCTATGTTTTTGGAATGTTGCTATGTTGTTGTTTCTGTTGCTACCTTATTTGTTTTTTAGTGGTTTTGTTTCTGTTTTTATTTTCTGAGACAGAGTCTTCCTGTAGCCCTAGCTGGCCTGGAACTTGATACGTAGACCAGGCTGGTCTCAATCACACAGAAATCCACATACCTCTGCTTCCCAACTGGGATTAAAGGCACGGACTACCACCCCTAGCATTTTTAATTCTCTTTCATAGCAAAGATAGGCCTTAAACTATCTTAACATTAAAGCTCTCAGCTCCTTGTTTACCATTTGTTTCTGCTATAAGAAATACAATGTCACCGGCCTGAAACTAAGAAGTCTTACAACTTGTTGCTGCTTCCAGGTTTCATAAATGATTAGAGCCTATACGCTGATATCCTTCTACAAAAAGTCACTGGTCAGTAAAAAGCTGGATCTGTTCAAATGGAAGGAATGCATCTCCTGGAGAGTCTACTCCCTGTTCAAGCTGCCTGCTTTGAACTGCTGCAAGTTCTGTCTGTGGACCTCATTCATGGGAACAGCTTTTTGATCACCTCGAGTTTTACAGAGGAGGCCCAGAACCCAGGGACACTCACAGTGTGCTGGAGAACCAAGAACTCTCACTATAACACCCTTGTGTTTCTGTACTCTCCCTGGGCTGGGCTGGGCCTTGGAGAGTGGCCTTCCAGCCACCATCTTTGTAAGTGACTTAGTAGAGCAGTGTTATTGACTCTTGAGTCTCTCATGGGGGCTGGCATGCCAAGCCTGGATCTTTTCAGAGGAGGCTATCACACAGTGAGGCCAGCTTCCGAACGAGGCTTCCTGAGAGCAGCTGCCGGGTTCCCAGCATCCATCTTGGTCTCTGAGAACTTGCACCTCTGAGATTAGGTGAACTTTCACATCATCTCAATAGGAAATGTCTCAGTCTTCACTTCTCTGGTGTTTTATGTATTTCTTTTCTTATTCTCTGTCCTTTTTATGAAAATATCTCAGTTGTGAAAATAAAGTCCTGTGTTAAAGACACAAGTGGTTCCCGTGGCATCTAAGGACAAAAGCCCCTCTACAGCAAAGACACTGACTTCAACTGAAAAGACACCACAGGAGTTGTAGAGCACTTGCCTAACATGCACAAACCTTGGGTTCAGTCCCCAGAACTGGAGTGGGCAGGGGAGAAAGGACGGAGGATGGAGGGAGGGGCACAGTATGGACTTTTTGTGTTCTCGTTTCGTATCCAAGACCCTCCATTGGCCCCACAAGGTGCCCACAGCTTGACCTGCAGTTGAAGAGTTTGAAAAATACCCAGGACTCGAGGAGCCAAGCCGAGCTGCCTCAGGCCCATTGTCCCTCTGACCCACTCCCAAGTGCCTTCACTGACACTGGTAGCAGAAGCTCTTCCGATAAAGAGAACAGGTATTTTATCAGGCTGTTGGAGGGCATAAAGATGATGGGCTTTTTAATTTTTAAAAATATTTTATTATGATAGTGTGTGTGTGTGTGTGTGTGTGTGTGTGTGTGTGTGTGTGTCTGGTGTGTGTGTAAATGTAGGGAAGTGCATGCCATGGTGTGTCTGTAGAGGTGGCGGGAAAATTTGGGGGAGTTGGTTCTCTCTTTCCACCATTCAAGGGGATCAAACAGATCTTCAGGCTTGCTCAGCAGGTACCTTTACCTCTTGAGCCACCTTGCCAGCACCCCCCATCCCCTCAGCCACTGCCTTTTTTAAAAGAAATTTCTTCCTCATGATGTAATAGGATTTTCCCCATGTAAGATACAATCAGTGGCCAATATGTCCCTGAAGACATCTTGGCATACCTTGTGCATGGTGAGGTTTT